GGAGCCCTAGCTGGTTTGGCTCAGTGGAGAGAGCGTCAGCCTGCAGAATAAAGGGTCTCAGGTTCAATTCCGGCCAAAGGCACATGCCTGGTATGAGAGCTTGATCCCCTCCAGTGGGGGACATGAAGGAGGCGGCCAATCGATGATTCTCTCATCATTGATGTTTCTATTTCTCTAAGTCTCTCCCTTCCTCTCTGAAATCAATAAAACTACATATATATTTAAAAAATAAAAAAATAATGGAATATGTTACCTGACCCAGAGGAGTCATAAGCCATCATGTGCCCTGACCGGGAATCGAATCTTGATCTCCTGGGTCATAGGTCGATGCTCAACCACTGAGCCACACCAGTTGGGCTGATGCTGTTAATTTTTATTTTTCCTAACTAGTATTATAGGTTCCTTCTAGCTCTAAGATATTATATTACTGTAAATTTTCTGTGGCTTTTGTTATTTCCTAGAAGTACCATATAAGAGGACATATTCCATTCTTTTGTGTTTGTTTTTTTAAAATATATTTATTGATTATCATGCCCAGGTTGCAGGCTTGATACCCAGTAGGGGGAATGCAGGAGGCAGCTGATAAATGAATCTCTCTCATCATTGATATTTCTATCTCTCCCTCTCCCTTCCTCTCTGAAATAAATAAAAATATTTTTTTAATTAATGTCATCAAAACACTTGGCAAAGTAAAAGTACAGAACTGCAAGCCAATTTTAACTTTTTTTATTATTTAGATTAATCTGGTTTTATTTTTAAACACATCACAGCATAAGATTTTTTAGTCAGGTTTTTATAATAGTTTTCCCCCAGGGTGGAAACAGCTTAGATATTTGACAGACATAAAAAATATGATTTCCTAAACTGATGCCAATATGGGATGAATTTTTAGTACAACTGGCTGCCTGGCCTCTGATAATAAAATACTGGCATACTGTATCTGTGATTTCTCTATTTTATGATCGAGTTTAATCATAAAGCATTAATGAGCCTCTGCTGTGTGCCAAGTTTGTGATGTTGAGGAGCACCTTAGAGATACAGAGACAGCAAGTCACCATTCCTACCTTTAAAGGACTCAGAGAGTTTGAGCAAATATGCAAAGAGGTGAATAACAATATAATAGGGCAGGCATTATTACAACCATACTTACAGTATGGGAGCCCTGAGGAAGGTAACGCAAAGGAAGTCAGAGTTGATAAGTAGACATTTTTCAGGCAGAGAAGGGGATAGTGGAGAAGCCTTTCAGGCAGATAAAGACACAAAAGTGTAAAAGATCATGATATACTAAAGGCCCAATGCACGAAATTCGTGCACGAAATTTGTGCAGGGTGCTTGGCCCTTGCAGCCCCGGCTACCTTGTGGCCACGCCCACTGGTCATTCCGGAAGGTCATTCCAGAAGGTCGTCCGGAAGGTCATTATGCCATCTGGTCTAATTAGCATATTAGCTCTTTATTATATAGGATTCAAAGAAAAATGAGAAGTTCAGGATGGCAAAATATATAGGTGGCAGAAGAGAGATGAAGCTATGGGAGCTAGATTGAGGATGCCCTTGAATGCTAATTTGTATTTTAACTGAGCCAATGAGGAGCCAGAGGGAGTTTATAAGTAGGGTAATGAGTTGATCAGATTAATTTTTTTTGAGAAAGATAGATGTGCCCTGGCTTATGTGGGTCAGTTGATTGGAGTGCCGTCCTGTGCACCAGAAGGTCTCTGGTTTGATTCCCAGTCAGGGCACATACCTAGGTTTATTCCCTTCCTCCCTCTCTTAAAAAGAAGCAGGAGAATAAAGATAGATGTCAGCAAGGTGAAGGATGAGTAGAAAGACCAATTAAACTTTCAGTACTCAGATGAGAAGTATTCAGGGTTGTTCTTAAGCAGCAGTTCTCAACCTGTGGGTCGAGACCCCTTTGACGGTCGAACAACCCTTTCACAGGGGTCGCCTAAGACCATCCTGTATATCAGATATTTACATGACGATTCCTAACAGTACCAACATTACAGTTATGAAGTAGCAACGAAAATAACTTTATGGTTGGGTCACAACATGAGGAACTGTATTTAAAGGGCCAGAAGGTTGAGAACCACTGTCTAAAGTGATGGCAGAAGACTGAAAATTAAACCAGATATGAGAGGCCACGTGGGTATGGGTGATGAAAGAAAAGTATGAGTTAAGAGTGACATTGATATTTCTACCTTGGGAGGCAGGTAGATAGATGGTGATGCCAGTCACCATGTTCAGTGATAAATAAGTAGGTACTAAGTAAATATTTGGTCAGTGAAATTAATATTGTAGTGTGAAATATTCCCAGAAGGAGTAAAAGGGCCCTAGCTCTGTCGTTAACTTGCTAGATAATCTTAGGCAAGTAACCTAATCTCCCCGAGCCTCAGTTCCTTCATCTTTAATAGAAGTTCTCAAAGTGAGATCCAGGGACCCCTAAGGGTCCCTGAAACCCTTCAGGGATCCACAAGGTCAAAACTGTTTTCATAGTAATAATGAGATTTTACTGGCCTTTTTCATTCTCATTCTCATGAGCGTACTGTTTTCAAGAGGTTACATCACATGGGAATCAGGGGAATTTCATCTTATTGTAATCAGCTAGGAACAGTATATACAACTAGCTGAAACTGTTGAGATACAGTTTTAATTAAATTAAAAAACTGAATTTAAAAAAAAGAGGCTACATCATGTGATATTTAAAGAGATTGAATATAGAGACAGATACGAGAATCCTGTTGTATTCTATTAAGTCAGATATTAAGGTGATTTGCAAAAATGTAAAACAGTGCCTCTCCTTGCTACGTTTTTGTTGTTTTGGAAAATATAGTTATTTTTCTTAAAATATTTATGTTAACATGGAATGGGTTTATTATTTTTAAATAAATACATGTTCTTAAACTTTTGTAGTTTTTCTTTTCAGAGAGTGGAAGGGAAGAGAGAGACAAAGAGAAACACTGATGTGAGAGAGACACATAGATTGGTTGCCTCCCATATGCCCCCAACCAGGGCCAGGAGCCTGCAACCAAGGTATGTACCCTTGACTGGAATTGAACCTGGGACCCTTCAGTCCACAGGCTGATGCTCTATACCAGAGGTTCTCAACCTGTGGCTCGCGGCTCTATACACTGAGCCAAACCAGCTAGGGCATAAACTTTTTCAGTTTTAATTTATAATACCTTAAATATTGATAGCTATCATCCACATAAAGAAAAGCTTTTTTCCTCATAATTTTTTAAAAATCCTCACCCAAGGATATATTTACTGAGGGGGAGAGAGAAACACTAATGGACTACATCTGGTACGCGCCCCAATCCGGGGTTGAACTCACAACGTAGGTATGTTCCCTGACCTGGAATTGAACCCACAACGTTTTGGTGAACAGGATGATGTTCCAACCAACAGAGCTACTCAGGCAGGGCTTTGCTCAATAATTTTTAAAAATGTAAAAGGATCTTATGACCAAAAGACATGAAAACCACTGATCAATAAAATAGGACTAAGATCAGCCCCTTGTACTTTAGTTTGATTGTTATAGGGTCTCTTGATAAGAGATAAGACTCTGTACAATCCCTTTTTAAAAAATGTATGTAATCCTTTCCCAAGAATATGTTTTTCATTGATTTTAGAGAGAGAGGAAGGGAGAGGAGGAGAAATGGGGAGAGAAACATTGGTGTGAGAGAAACATCAATGGGCTGCCTACTGTATGTGCCCCGACCGGGGATTGAACCTGTGACCCTCCAACCAACGGAGCCACACCCGCCACGGCTACACAATCACTGTTAAAGGTATTAAATGCTATACAAATATAACATGTATCTTTATTACTGTCATTAATTGTGGTGACTATTTTTTTTAAGATGGAACAGATTAAACGTGCAAACCGCCTTTATACTAATGACTCCATCTTCCTGAAGAGAACCCTCTACATCCCCATCCTGACAGAGCCCAGAGACCTGTTCAATGGTTTGGATTCTGAGGAAGAGAGAGATGGAGAGGAAGAGATGCAGCCAAGTAAGGCTGAAGTTTGGCCACACTCAGCTGAGCAGAAGACGCAGCAGACAGGCTCAGGACGTGCCAATGGCGAAGTCCTTTCCACACCTGGCCAGGAACCCCCCACTCCCAGCCATGACCTCTCTGCCTCTGATTTCCTTAAGAAGCTTGACTCACAGATCAGCCTGTCAAAGAAGGCTGCTGCCCAGAAGCTGAGAAAAGGGGAAAGTGGGTGAGTCTTAATGGTTCCTTTTAAGCCCCTTCACAGACTTCTCTGTTCTTCTAGGCTTACCTTACCAGATACACAAGTAAGCACAGTGTCCGCAGAAGCAAGGGGAATCCTTTCCTCCAGTGGCTCCAGGGCAGTGAGCAGAGCCAGTGGCTGCTGGAATGGGTAGAGGCAGTGGGGAAGGGTTTTGTGTTCTCACTGGAGTAAAATGTCATCTGTTCTTACTGCTCTGATGATCCATGAGGAAGCAGTAGGACTAGGATTTATCCGGAAGACATTGAGACTCCATCTAGACCAGCTTGGATGGATTAGGAAAGGAGGCAGCTTCCCATGTGCCTCATCATTGGCCTATTCTCAGGCTCTTCCCTTGACCTGTCACTCTGTCTCCCCTTTCCGCATTTGCAGGGTACCTGGGGAGGAGTCAGGCCTTCACCGCAGCTCCCCTCGGATGCAGCAACGAGCAGTCCTAGGTCCCGTGCCACTGACCCGGACCTCTCGAATCCAGACACTTCGAGACCAGGAGGATGAAATCTTCAAACTCTGATGTCTCCAGAACTGATTGATAGAAGCAAGATGGTGAAGGAGCAACTTGAGGGGGAGAGGAGCCTGAGGTGAGGCTCAAGAACATGGCTTCCCAGCCCACCTGCCTCCCTCCTGCCCAGCCTCATGTCTCATCAAGAGCTCCTTGGCCTGAGGCAGTTTTATTGGCAAGAGTAGGAGGTGGGGAATAGACCCCTTCTCAGTTCTGGGGTTGAATCTAGAGTTGTCCTTTAGATTCAAAGGTTCTTTTTACATCCCTGCTGCCTTTCCCATCCCTTCACCATTGCTTGGCCTTAGAACAGGAGGCAGGTGACTCCCTCAGGCCCTAACTTCTTCCCCATCTCCAACTATGTTACCTAATTTATTTGGTGCTATATTGAAGTAATATTTATTTGCTGTATTTTGTTCTTTCCCACTCTTAACTAAAGAATGGGATTTTTATAGCCATGGTGTGAGGGAAACCCAGGAACAGTGAGCCAGTAACTGCTGGCTGCCCACCTTTTTAGCCAAGCATGTTATTGAGAGTGGGGCAATCAGTGATCTAACCCTCAAAGTAAAGAATTTGGGTTTAGTCTTGACTAACCAATTCACTAGAACTCTTTCACAACTCTTTCTCTGAGGAAAAAACCAGTGATGTAGGTACCCGAACTATTCAATTCACCTTCTAACCTGAGCCTCTGTTCAGACTGTGTGGCTAAGGGATGGAAGAAGAATTGCCTTGCAGTTCGAAGAGGAAAACAGTTGTGGGAGTGTCACAAACAGTTCCTATTTGTTATACTCCCTCCCCATCAGAGCCTGTTGCTGTATGCCTTGCTCCTCATTGAATATTTATTTGCAATTTGTAGCACTGATCTGCGGTACAGTTTTTAAGCAGAAGTAGGCAAGGGAACCCCAATGATACTGAAATACTCCTGAGTCTCCTGTGTGCAAAGGCGAGTGGTGAGATAAGTGGTGTTACAGACCATCATGATGATCATCAGATATAAGAAACTGGAGAGATTAAACACTGAGCCCTGTGCATGTTTTAGTAGTTTTATTTCCCCTGTGAGACTCTCCCCTGCCCTGGCCCCTCTTCCTGTTCTCTGGGGCAGAGCCCCTGGTGTCTGTCCTGGCTCTGCCTAGAACCGCAGGTCTAGGATGTCTCAAAGCAACCCCTTCCCCACTCTGTCTTTAGTGTCCCCAGAGGGGTTCACAGGGGAAGGGGCTTCCCTGTTTCAAACATCCCTTATGGAGGAAATAAGAGATCCAAATTTCACTTCCTCTTTTCATGCAGCTTTGTTTCTTGCCCAGGGGCTGGTGTGGGAGAGAGGCCTCATTGCTTCTTCCCCACCAGCCATTTAAGGTAGGGGATTGGAGTCAAAAGCATTTTTGGGGAAGGCTGGAGCCGGAGGACTGAAAAGCGTTAGTGCAGATGAGCGGAGTTACAGAGCCCATTCATTGTCTGCTGCGTTCTCAGCCAGCCCTTCAGTCACGATCACGGTGGAATGTGCTGGGTTCAGAGCTTTCCCTCATCCAGCAACTTTCTGAGCCCATCACAGATCTTGCCAAGGTGCTGAGTGAAGTCAGGCCCGTAGAGGGCCGTGAGCAGGCCTGGGTCAGAGAAGTGGTCGAACACGTGGCGGATGCGGCCGTGTGACTTGGGCGTGAGATGGTGCTGCACCAGCGCCAGCAGTATGTCCCGGCACTCGGTCAGCAGGCTGGCCAGCACCGCGGCCTCGAAAGTGAAGTCCACCTCGCCAAAGCTGAGCGCCGTCATGGCGCCCTGCCGCAGTTTTTGGCGAAAGCTGGCAGCCAGGGCCAGCTCACTGGGGCTAAAGCAGCCACTGCGGTGCAGCACGGCCACCTTGACAGCCACCTTGATGAGGTCCTTGATGACCCGCTGGGCCTGGGACCGGCTTTGCGTGTACTCTTTGGACACACGGTAGAGCTCATCTAGCACCGCGCTGCTTGTCTCGTCGATGAAGAGATGAGCCACAGACCGACCGGCCATCTTACTCAGTAGCTTCTTCTCCGCTTGCAGGGCCAGACTCTTTGAGCTGAAGGACTCCATGGCTCCTGGAGGAGGAGGTGGGGGCGGGGGTATGCGGTCAGTCAGAAGAAAGGCCACAGGCTTCCTTAGAAAGAGAGAAATAGCTTTTCCCCTTTCTGTCTCTTATTTGGTTTCTATCTCATCAGCATCTTTGCCTGTCATATTTTCCCCCTGGGCCCCTCAGTCCCCGATGCCTTGTTCCTATTTTTTCCCTTTTCTGCTGTAAGAAATCTTCTTTTGTTTTTAAATATATTTCTATTGATTTCAGAGAGGAAGGGAGAGGGGGAGAGATAGAAACATCAATGATGAGAAAGGATCATTGATAGGCTACTCCCTGAACACCCCAGACTGGGGATCGAGTCCGCAGCCCGCGCATGTGCCCTTGACTGGAATCAAACCCGGGACCCTTCAGTCTGCAGGCTAATACTCTATCTACTGAGCCAAACCAGCCAGGGCTGTAAGAAATCTTGATCTCTAAGGCAGCCTAGAGGAGCAGAATAGCTTTGGCTGGAGGAATGAAGGCTGCGTGCATGCGCACGCGCACACACACACACACACACACACACACACGAGGCTAGCCCACCTCAAGTTAAGTTTTAAGGGGAAGCAGGCTATTTCTGCTACAGTGGAGAAGATAAGGCTTACCTGGCAAAGAATTCTCCCAGCTACCATTTTGGACACTGACCATGTGCCATATATCTGTGAGGTGTAGGTATTTCTATCCTTGTTTTATAGCTGAGCAAACGGAGGCTTCATTAAATCATTTACCCAAGATCAAACACTACTGTTTTTCTGACTCCAAAAGCTCATGTCAACCAGCGTGATATACTGCCTTTAAATAAGTGAAAAATATGGGGCCCCAGGAGCCTTGATAAAAATAATAACTAATATTTATTGAGACCCTACTATGTGCCAAGTGCGTTATGTGAATTATCTCAGTTTTCCCAACCCTTTGTAAGATAGACATCCCTATTTTACAATGAGAAAACTGAAGCCAAGTGAAATTAAGCAACTTGGCCAAATTCACTAGCAAAATATAAAAAGGGGCTCAAACCAGATAATCCAAAGAAACTTCCTTCCCTGGATGGCTGTCCAGGCTGTGGAAGCACACGGAGGAAGCATGAGAAGCAAGCACCCCAGAGGGGCAGGCAGTACTAGAGGTCTAGTCTCCTGCTAGACCCGAACTGGGACCCTCCTGGTGACCCATCAGCTGCAAATGTCCAGGGTGCTCGCCCCGTGGTCTTTGCCTGGGGTTGTTCTGGTTGTTTTGCTTCTTACTTCCCCCTCCCCTGTTCTGCAGGATGTGGCTGTGACCGCAGTGAGGAGCAGCCTCACCCTCTCCCCCAAACCAATATGGGAGTCTGAAGAGTCAGGCAAGATGGGTACCTGGGGCGTGGGGGGGATTCTCCCCGAGCCAAGCCGGCCCTAGGGGAACCTAGAACCTCGCTTTGTTCCTGCCTTTGTTGGGGGCTTTCTGAACCATGTTCCACAGCCGGGAGAGGAGATTGCTCCATTTGGGCCTTCCTTCCTCCTTGGCCTTCCTGTTACCCAGCCCTCAGTTGCCCCCGTTGCCATCTCACATTTGGTCCACTGTCCTCTCCCTCTCTCTCTGTTTCTGTCTCACTTTTTCTCTTGCCTGGGACCTGCCCCATGATCCTCCGGCCAGGCTCTTCCTCTGGCCCTTACATTTTACCTCCATGTCTCCCAAGATTGCCTTGCACCCCTCAGTACTCTGTCAGACACACATACCTCCACCCCCAGGCCTCAGCCCTGCCCCAACCCATCCCAAACCATGTCTGTCTGGCCCCAGGTAATACTGAGCTGGACCCCTCCACTGGAGACCCAAGAATGCTATCGGGTTAGTCTCACAATCAGGAAAGATCAGACTGACAGAGCCAGGACTCTTCTGTCACCTTCACCCCTAAAGCCTACCAGTCCCTTGCCAGTCATTGCCAGTCCCTCACCTGCTGTGCACTGGGTGCCAGTCTTGCCTTGGATGTTCCGGAAGAGCTGACTGAATGGAGAAGCTCCAAAGTGAGAGGCCCTTTGGCCTGGCCCCACCCCTCAAGCCCCGCCTACCTACTCTCAGCTCAACCTCCGGTTCTTCATACAGTCACCAAGAAAGTTTATGGCCCAAGAGCCTCCTAGAAGTATGACAGAGGTCAAAAGGAATAGCACTCTGTAGGAAATAGTCTTAATTCTTATTTGTTTTTTTCTAATATATTTTCATTGATTTCAGAGAATAAGGGAGAGGGAGAGAGAGAGATGGAAACATCAATGATGAGAGAGAATAATTGATTGGCTACCTTCTGCATACCCCACACTGAGGATCAAACCCACAACTAGAGCATGTGCCCTTGACCAGAATCAAATCTGGGACCCTTCAGTCTGCAAGCCGACGCTCTATCCACTGAGCCAAACTGGCTAGTCTTGATTCTTTGAGGTGATAAGGAGGGATTACATAAGCCCTGTTCTCAAATGGTCTGTTGTTTCTTTGCTTGCTGCCCAATTCCTTGAAATCTTGTAAAGTACAAATGGCTGGAGTGTGCAGTCAATGGAGAATGTTCTGAAGATTGAACTTAAGCTGGAGATTCCAGAGGCAAGACAGAGACCAGCAGACTTGAGTGTGTTCCTGGAGTCGCCAGGGATGGGTAGGACCGTGGAGCAATATTATCACGAGTATATGCTTCCAGCGCCTGGCTGAGTTAGGGTGGCACGGACTGTCCCTCCCTTTATACTTGAGAGAGGGAGGTGCTAGGGCCAGAGCTGCCAAACCAGATCTGACCAGCAGGTGTCAGCACAGGATTGAACCACTGGAAGAAACAAGCCTACCGTGTACTTCGTAGCTGCTAAAGAAATTTCAAAATTGAAGGGCCCTGCCAGCATTGCTCAGTGGTTGAGCATTGACCCATGAAGCAGGAGGTCACCGTTTGATTCCAGGTCAGGGCATAGGCCTGGGTTGCAGGCTTGATCCCCAGTGTGGGGTGTGCAGGAGGCACCCAATCAATGATTCTTTCCCATCATTGATGTTTCTATCTCCCTCTCCCTCTCTAAAATCAATTTAAAAAAAAATTTTTTTTTAAAATAAGCACAACAGAACTTAAGTACTTTCAAATGACTGTCCCAAAGCCCTAACTCCCCACAGACTCATTCGCAGGTGTGTCTCATACCTTAATCTCATTGTCATTTGCAAAATTGCCGAGCGAAGCCATAATTTTGGGTATAGCTGCAGCCAAGGTCTCCTGAACAGACTCCTCAGCTT